TTTTGATATAATTATTCTTATCTGCACAATAGAACCAACAACAAAACATGGTAGTAGATGTTCAACAGAATTCAACACAAACATTTGGACAGTCACATGTACATTAATATTCTTGAGATATTATTCCTAAAAAATCCTATCCCCTCCCTCCCCACCCTTGTACTAAACTAGTTAACTCATATTTTGCAGGCACAATTGACTTTTGGTGAAAGTAGTGACAACTCTCTCACGAATTTCTGGCACAATATTTGCACTTCCACAAGGTTTCTTTCGATATTCATACATTTAATTATTGTTCGCAAGATAATATTTTATCTGCTTAAAAAATATGATGACATTAGAATTATAACGATCAATGCATCTAAACTCTATACGAGATCAAATTATTATCATATAAGAGACCACATAAATAGTAATAATATCATATACAATAAGTCAACGAAATACATTTTATTATTTTTGTTGGTATTGTTGTTCTTTAACATTGTTTCTCTCAGGCATGGCTCGAGTCCACTCGCAAATACGGGTACACAATTGAACACTCCCTCCCAATTAGGGTTGGAGTATGCCCATTCAAATTGGAATATCAACTTGAACAATAACAACGACATCAATCATATTATTCAACAAACTGATCAATCTTCAATTCAAAGTAATGCAATAGCTTCTAATGTTAATGGATTTAACTATCCCATAGAAGTGGTTAGTTCAAAGCTCTATTATTATTATTATTGATTAATTAACTTTATTTGTTTGTTTATAAATTTATATTTGTGATATTATTCACACAAAACTCACTTTAAATATTTTGTCACAATGATCAGGAGAATACCATGGGAAACAATGAATACTTTGCTGAAACAACACATGAGAATGATGCATGGGAATGGGATGATGTTTTCCTCAATGAAGGTTTCAATGGAGATGACTTTTAAATTTAGATTGATCAATGAATGACAAACAAACTTTTTTTTTAATCTAGTTTCTTTATCTTTGGTCCATTTTAAAGACCACAGACTTGATGTTTTAGCTTTTTATTTACTTATTTCTGTATGCAAGATATCATCTTTATGTATGTAGGGTGACCTATATATATTAAAGTGAATAACAATAAGTACCTATGAGTGTTAGAAATAAATTGTGTTACCAACATCATTTGTCTTAATATACTTTTTATTATTATAAGTTGTCCATTTAGATTATATGAAGATGGTGCAAGAAGCTTGGAAACAAGTGGAGGGATCACCTCTATGAATTTTTCCTTTGATTTGGAAGAATACTTGTTGAAAGATATCTGGTACAATTCAGTTTTAAACTTGTTTAAAATGCTTCAGCTTTAATGAACAAAGACATCACCTAATAAATAGGTTTTTCAAAACCTAATAAATAGATTTCACCTTATATGAATTTTGACATTGAAATAAATAACTAATTCAACTTCAAAATAGGTTTCAGCTTTAATACTTTGGCTTCTTGCTCAACAATTTTGAAAAATGCGACTTATCTTTATGTCATTTACAAGTTTGGACTTGCAAATTCATTCACAATTAACATACATGAGTTTGTCTTGAAATTGCATACATAAGACACATTTGGGCCTAATAAATCTTGAGGAATCTAAATTTCTCTTTGCAAAGATTAATTCTAAACAGTTGTTAATCCAAACTATGTAATACCAAAATCCTATTCTGAGATTCATTTCTCTTATGAGAATGTGAAAATGTAGTTGAAGACTCACTCAAAAAAACTGTCAAATAGGAGGGGTTATAATTGCATATTGCAGGGTTACTAATCCGCGCTAATTGTTGTAATGGTGGTTTTCAAAACTCTCGAAGTTATGTCTGCTGCAATTAATTTGTTTGGATTTTTTTGAAGACTGAACAATAATTTGGGAGGTTATTTACTTCATTTTTCGTGGGTTATAAGATCGCCAGATATTCATACATGTATTTTTTTGGGATACCTCCGCAATAATTTGACCAAAAATTAACATTTAATTTTTATATAATTATATTACAAACTAATATAAATATTAGTAAACTTGTACATTATGCTCATAATAATAACTAAAGCACTAGGAATTTTTTTATAATTGAAACACTAATATTTTATTAAATCATAGAAATTGCCTGACTTAAGAATATTCCAAGTAAGCAAACTCTCAATGCATTAGTAAAAAAACAGGTTTATTCAATACATCTTTATCGGCAATAATGAAATTGAAGACATTCAAACATGTTTTCATTTTTTTTTCCACAAGCTTTACTGCAACAACAATAAGCTCGTGAAAATAAATTTCCTTTTGTCATCTTCTGATTGGATTTTCTCCATCGGCAACCATCACTAATCTGCAAAATTTTCAATAAATGACCAAGCTTATTACTACTATTTAACCGATTTTGGAATCCACAAGAGCAATCTACACAAAACATTTTCAAAGCAGATTCAATATGAAAAGAATAATGTTAAAAGAGGAAGCAAAGAAACATATGAAAGTAAAAATACCTATTACTGAATGAATCAATAGACAACCAGAGATCGGGATAAGATGTCATATATATCTAACTTGTGACACCAGATTTTATGTCCATTTAGAATTACAAGGAAATGAATCACAAAATTCAGCAGCGCGCTTACCTTGATGTTGGCAACTTCTCTTGGGACATTTATATTCAGAAAGCAATTATATATGAGGATAAGACTTATTAGAGATCTCAGCTTCAATGCACAATGTGAAATCATGAACATTGAATTTTTCGACCAATTCTAAAATCGACAGTCTCATAAAACCAATGAAAAATTAACAGCTCTATCAGTAAAATAACATGTGTTTATATGAATACAAATGACTTTGAAGCATAGCCAACTTGCAGTTAGATGGACCATTTTATGGTGCATGTTTAGCAGCTGCAACTTTGTTGCTTTCTTTGGCCAAACAAGCATCATGCTTGTTAGAACTTGGTATAGTTGAGGTATAGCTTTATGCTTTACTCTTTTTGCAACATGAGAGATACATAATGCTGCATCTTGATATACCCAATAGTGACTAGGGATCCTTATATTTCATCTCAATGAATCCGCCACAGATGTGTGGGCCATTCCCTATTTCATCTCAACCACACCAATATCATCACAGTAGTGGTACAACATCAATGCAAACACAATAGTGCAATGATCAAATATGAGGATGATAATTCAACATCAATATCCAACAACAGACAATCAAAGCATATCGTCAAGTGAATCATCTCACTCGACCAATTGCCTACAATATAATCAAGTCATACAAATCAACAAGATTCTAGTTATAACCCAAGTTGTTTAACAAGGTCACATCATCAATTTACAATACACAAATTCTCATATGAAATCCCTTCATCAATTCCCATTACTCCCAATCATACAATGACATTCAAGGTTCAATAAACTCAACGAAAAGTCAAGAAGTCCACTTGCCTTAATTAATCAAACAATCACTCCGGAACTTGAGCTTTCCGCTTTTGTTGAGTCTCCAATTCAACACAATCTATTCAAATAAGTAATCACAATAAGATTTTGAGACTGTTAGCACCCATATCAAGAGTTTTGAAAAATGAGGTCAAATCGACCCAAGAACCCAATTCCAAAAATGAGGCTAAATCTGGAAATTTAATTAAAAATTCTGTTACCCAAACCATTTGGAAACCAACCGTGAAAACCAAATAAAAAATAGAGCTGGAATCATTCTTAAATCACCAATTAATCAAAAGCCTTAAACATTTTCAAAAACCTTCAAAGGTTGGACCAACCACTCAATCTTAATCACCAAAATCATGAATAAATCAATGGGTAAACGAGTTGGGGGAGTTAGAAATAGTTACCCAATTGATGAATGTTGAATAATCCTTTTGAAATCGCCAAAGCCGAGCTCTCAATATTAAAAAAAATGGTGAATCGGGTTGAAACCCCAATTTTGAGA